TCTATTGTCTTCCCAAAATTACTCTCATCACAGCTTCCTATGCTTTCAGAGGAAGACATCCAGTGCTACGTGCCATCTTTAGGGTAAGGAGCTTTGTGTTTATCTGCATGCTCACTGCCAAGCCAGATAAGAGATTTTACTCTCTACATTATCATTATTTAGGAGCCAGTCTGACTTTAAAAAGAGGGGTAAATATTTGAGCTTCTTCTGCAGACATAAAGTGAGGCTTTTTATACTTATTTATATCCACTAAAATAATCAGCTTGAAGAAGCTTTTTCAGCTTCTTGGGCTAAAAACTTCCCTGTTGCTAATATTTGCTTGCTCTGTTCATTATTCTGTGCTAGACTCTTCCCTCCCCTGATTGCATGTTATCACCTTCAATGGAACAGCTGTGTCATTGCTAAAGGGTGTTAATCTTCCCCTATCTAACACCTTATTGACAGCTAGAGTCAGGGAGGCCCCCAGTCTTTTCTGACTTGGGTGACTTCAACATTCGTTTTTTAGCTTCCTTTTCATTTCATACCAATCCTAGTGTTCTCTGACCTGGAGAGGCAGCCAGGCGGCTGCAGCCAGGTCTGAAATAGTCTGTGTCAGTTGTAGTGATCGTAAGCAGGAGCATATTCCCTAACAATGTCAGGGGACAATAAGCCACAGGTAATCAATAAGCACAATACCTACAGACAGCAGAGCTCAGAATAGAAGCTGCTCCAGCAGGTGGGACAGCTGGCTTGGATTTGTATGGAGTGGTGTGAAAGGCACCATGGCTTCCAGAGAGACAGGAGCAGTGCTGACAGTGACAGATCCCCTGTTACACTGTGCCACCGAACACAACGAGCCGCTCCAGCAGGTACAGCTCATTTCTCCTGAGAGTTTTGTAATGCGTTGGAATTACTCTAGAATTGAATTTTCCTCAGTTCCTGTTGCCTGCCACTGTTCTGGACTGCCCTGCAGTGCCCAAGGTCACCCTGACTTCTGGGAGGTCTGGGGAGTTTCCCTGACTCTAGAAAGATTGGGTTGCCTGTACAGATCTGCCTTAAAACAGCCAGCACAGCAGTGGGCACCTCAGTCAGGACCCTCATGAATGCTGGGTCCAAGAGGATCTTTTCCAGACATAGCCTGTTCTGCATTGAGGAGAAACAGGAAGACCCTTCTTTTTTCTTAGCCTTTATGCTCCTTGACTGTTAAATAAATGTAGATATTCACATTTATCCCACCTGTGTTCAAACACAGCCCTGAGGTGCTGAAGTTGGCAACAAATTGCCTTTTCCTCATCCCACTTAAGGCTGGTGTCATGTCCTAGAGGTCTTCCTATGGGAAGCAACAGCTTCTAATTGGAGACATTAAGCAGTTAATCAACACCAGTTGTCCTTGCCTCCTCTTGAAGTTACTGTAGCAGAGTGGTGGCCACCCAAAGTGGGACCTGAACAGCCCGCTGGGGAGATAACTGCAATTGCCCACTGAGCCTAAGCGTTTCTGACAGTAGAAAGCATCTGCCAGTAGGCAGCAGGTCAAGATGGATACAGTTCTCTTGGGTTTTGGATTAAGAGGTAGGTGCAGAAGGAGACAAATGGGTTCATAGAAAAAATACTTATATATGTAAATTTAGTTTATAAAGCAAGTTACTCATTCTGCCTCTCCTGTACTTAAAAAGGCAGCTGAGTGCAACACAACACAGGGACATGAGTACAGAACTGAGAACTGGCAGTGTAGGGGGCTTTTGTAGGACTTGAACTGATCTAATTTTACTCCTGTTGTAACTGGAGTTATCTAATTGACTATGATTATTAAATTTATTAGACTGGTCAAACCAGGGCAATACTAATAGGCAATGTGTGCCCAGAGTGGCTTTACCTAACAGCCAGTGTACAAGAAATCACTTGATGATGAGTTATATCCTAGTTTGAAGATACGTGTGCTGCCTATGACTGTCAACTGACTTCAAACTTGACCCTCACAAATACTGTATTTCCTTTCAAATACATTTTCTGTGGGGCTGCAGTTCCAAATATCCTGCTGCATCTCCACAGCCATCAGCAGATTTCTTTTGGGTACGAACTGGGCCAGTGACATTTTCAGATAGGCTTGGCCAGATGCAGTTGCCAAAAGAACCAGGCCAACACAGAGTGTTGTTAATGAAAGAGACACAGACCCACGGGGGACAATATGAACATCAGGTTATTTGGCCACCAGCTGATTCCTTATCAGGAAGTGATGTAGCAGGAGGCAAAGTTGTATTAACACACGCTGAGAGGCTGCTGTCACACGGAGAGGCACTGCACTCGGGATAATAACCTGGTCTCAGCATTCCCAAGCCCACATCAAAATAGAACATGTTGGACATCCCATTTTTTTTTCTTTTTGCTTTAGTTTTGCTTTTCACACCACACACTGCTCAGCCAGTGTTAGCTGACTCCCTCCATGTGAGCCCTGGGGAGCGGAGCTGCCTGGCCAGCTGACATCTGCAGCATCAGGGCTTTGGTCAAGTCATGGCTCGCTGGCTGGGCTTGTCCTGAGATGGTTTGATATGGTCTTAAAGTACAAACAACTCATTTTCCCGTCTCATAAGAAGGAAAAGCATTAAAACCTGGCTGTTTGTTCTATAACAAAATGCACTCATTAAGTAGTAAGTGTGCTTCAGGATGTTGGCTTTGTTCACTCTGACCAAACTCTCTATCCGGAGGTCGCAGCCAGACAGCTAAGAGAGGTCTGTGTATTATTTAAAGGATGGGCAAGGTCACAGTGGCCTGAGCCTCCCGGGTTTGAATTAATCTCCCTGGCACACCAGCCTGCTCTGGCTCCACCGCCTGCGCTCGCAGGTACATTCGTGTAGAGCAATGCCATCCAGTGGTTGCTCAGATTCATCACAAAGCCAATGGCTCCTTCCTGAAGGACATTACACAAGCCGAAATGCTTCAGCTCCTGTTCCCAGCTAAGGCATTTCTCAGATACTAAAAGACTGTGACAGCGGCCAGCTTGATTGCTTCCAGCTTCTTTGGGTTTTGCATGTAAAACCCAGGTGTGTTTTAAGTAGCAGCCACTTTAATGAACATTTTTGGGGAAATGTTTTATGTATGAAGTCCAAATACACACATCTATCATCAGGCCTGAATTTTGGAGTGGGGAGGGGTTACATGGAATCATGTGGAAAATTATGCTGATTTTTGACAAAAAATATAGCCTGTGAATGAAACTTTCTCTGTCCAAAGCCCAGGAGTTACTAAAGTCACTCAGTGGGACGTTTTTCCTGTAGGATAGTGCCCAAAGGAAGGGACAAACAAGGGCTGGGCTGTGCAGAACCTTTCTCCGTCAGTGTCACATTTTAAAGAGCCCCAGTATTACAGGCTACCCAAGGGCTGTATATTCTGTGTGTGTGTGTGTGTGTGCTTAGACCTGCCTGGCTGCAACCTCTCCCTTGCCTCCTCCCAAAGACGGACCATCACACTGTGGCAGAGGCCAACATCCCAGATGTCAACATGTTTTGACTGTTGCACTCCCCAGGTCAAATGTAATTGATGTGTCACACCAACCACCACAACCCAGCCCCGGTGCACTGGAGCACAGGCTGTGGCTGTGCTGGAGGGGGTGAGGCTGTTACCACCAAGGGGCAGCCCTCTGCAGCTGGGTGCATGTACCCAGTGGGTCTGACCCTCCCCTACACTCGGGTCCCGCTCGGCGGTACAGATTCCAGTCAGGCACAGCACCACCGGGTGCTGCTGACAACAGGTGTCTCATTAAACATCTCTCAACCTTACAGGCATTCACATTGACAAGAACCAAACTCACACTCAATCACAGCTTAATCACAGCCAAACTCTATTAACAAGTCATACTAATTACCAACTTCTAACAATTTCTCAGGTTCAGAGGCAAAATATCCTTTCTTTATAGATGAAAACAGACTTGTGATACTCCAGCTCTGGCCATAATTAGGTCCTTTTAACCAAAACAAACCTAAAATAAAAATCCAGGCGGATTCCTTTGTGATAACAGTCCTGAAAGTACAGTTGTACAACGTGATGTTTTGTTTGTTTTAATTTTGTATCTGCTGTGTTGCCCACAAGGGCCCAATTAGCCTGTTACAGATGCTGCCATCAGTTTTATCCACTTGTCTTTTTTGTGAGTTTTTTTTAAGAGGGGTAACTTGTAGCACAGATTGCTGGCCTGCAGGCATCCAGAGATCAACAACCAGCTTGCTGTGATACCAAGCCCCCTGTGAAACAGGCAGTCCTTACCCACAGCATTCATAATGCAAAGGGTAAAATGAACAGAGGGGAGGGAGGAGCTTGCACTGGATTTTGGATTAGCGTGGAATAATCTGGTGTGTTCAAAAGTGGCCTGAAGATGGCAATTCTGCCATGGCTAAGAATAACTCTGACATACTCTGGCTGCTACACCTTGGAAATTAAAACGCAGGGTTTATTTTTAATAGCTTGAAGTGCTGCCTTGCAACAAAACAGAAAGTTCTTAAGACGTGGCTTTGAATTGTACCTGTAACTATTTACTCCTGTCCCCTGGTATGTTCAGCACATGTGTGATTCCATGTTAATCCGGACTCTTTCCTCTGTTGTGTGGCTGTATTGAGTGGCTGAGCACTTGAGAACTTATTTGTGTAACTGATATGCTTACAAAAGGGTACATATAAATAACATGAAAAACTGACGGGGGGGGTATCACTGCTGTGGCTAATGCTTCATCCTGCTGCTGATGGAGGGGCAGAAAACCCACACAACAGTTAAGGACTAATGTAGAACTTCCTAGCATTTTCTGAGCAGTGTTGTTCAAGGATAAGCCTCTTTCCCCATACCTGGAAGACCCCAGTTTGTGTTGGTGTGAGGGTCATTACATGCAGGTATCCAAAAGCAGCCACAGGGAGGACCACAGGCTCTGTCCTTTGCTTGCCTGCACTGCTGGAGACCAGCTGCAACCCTGGTGTGATGAAGGGTAACACAATGGCTTAATGGCAGTGTAAGACAGAGTGAATCAGTCCAAAAATTGTTACCTGGCAAGAGCAGAAGGCTCGGATTTAAGGTTCAGCATTGAACTCTTTGTCTTGAAAGGGTAGAGTCCTCTTGTCCTGACACTGCTGTTGGCAGATGGCATCTCTATATGCCAGTGAAGAGTTTCTGAGGCCCTGGAACAAGGAGAGGTACAAGTTTGGTTTGTCTTTTAGAGAAGGTACTTGTTTTCAGTGTAAGGTCCACTCCTGCTTGAGTAGCAGGAGGAAAAAAGAAAGGTCTTTGTTCAGAGCCATAGTAAGGTGGAACAGGAGATGAGATCTCCATGTGCAATGGAATAACCATGAGAACATTCATGCAGTGTTTCATCAGGGGAAAATGGGAGATTTTGTCTCACCATAGTCTCATTCCTCTTCCTAAGAGGCTGTTTCAGACAGGAGCAGAGCATTTTTACCTGTGTTTTGCCAGATGAAATGTGGAAGAAGAGGCCAGCAGGTGTGACACAGGCTCCTTCAGCACAGAATCCCAGGGCTGAAGCCTGACTCCTTTTGGGGAGTACAGTGTCCATGATCAGCATCAACCCTTCCTAGTTCTGAGCTTTGCTCTGGCATGTCAATTTCCTTCTTCTTTATGGATTTTTACTATTCCTGAAATCAACAAAAAAAGGAATGAATTAGAACAACTGAAGCTTTACTCTGCTGTGGAGCCGTCACTTCTGATCAGAACCTGAAATCCCGCTTCACACTCCTCCAGTGTGGAAATCTGTCAGGTAAATAGAAATCACCTCGTAAAAGCCCTTAAACAGCTCTGGTTTATATTTTAATTGAGGAACAGAACATTTTAAGCACTTTTATTGGGTGGCGCCTGCTGAATGACAGATGTCTGCAGCGGAGTAATGCTGAGCACACTTTCATAAAACAGGGCAATTCCTTGCTTAAAACATTTACAATTAAAGGCTTGACTGAATAACGACGAGTTCTGTGCATGGAGCTCATTTCTGCACTTGTTTGTGCACCTGAACCAGGCTGTGATCATTCCGTAGGCTGGATACGAGGTGCCAGTTGCTTTGTTCAGTGACCAAATAGTGCTCACGGGCACAGCTGGAAACGTGCCTTTGATTTTTCACCGTGAGAGAGATAAGGTTCCCTGTGCTGTTAGACCCGCTCACACCCTCCTTTCAGCTGTGAGGCTGGGGTTGGTGGGTGCTCTTAAACATGGTAGTAACTCCCCCAGTTTGTCAACAGGTAGAGATCTGAAAATGAACCCTAATCCTTGGCAGCTGAGAGCCTGGAGTAGTTTCTGCTTTATTTTCCTATCTAGCTCCTGTGACCCCTGTTACTGCAATACCCAAGAACATCACCTCTGCTCATGCACTGCTCCTCACTGTATCTGAAGGAAGTTAGGCTGGCATTAATACTAGTTTCTCCTGTTACAGGTGAGAGCTGTGAAATGTAGAAACAGCCTTAATGAAAGCACAAAATACCCAACAGCGAACCAGTGACATGGCACGCACCGCAACCTTTTGCTCAAGCCAACAGACTCAAGTGAGAAAGGACTTTGAGTTTCATCCCTACCAAACTGAAAGAGACCGTGTCTGAACTGACACTTTCCCAAAGAGAAAGATGAAGCTCTTGCCACAGCAGAAGGGACATGTGTTCTGGGAACTGCAGAGGCAAAATGTGTCATGGGAAAATCTCAACGGATTCAGCCCAGGACGAGAATATGCAAATTGATGCAAAATTAAATGCAGCTGAACAAGATAACACATATCCCAGCAATGGAGAAAACTCACAGCATACTTGCAAAAAAGATGGAGCTTAAATCCAAGGGGGAGATGAGGATGTCTGAGCAGTCCCCAGTGACTGTATTTTGGCAGGAATATGAAGGGTTTCCCAAAAGGAGTCAAGAAAGTGCTGCAGAAATGAAATACGGAGCCACTGAAGTGCCATGGTCAGTTACAGAACTAAACAGAAGATGTGTAACCCACCCCTCTACATAACAAACCAGGTACTAAGTAATAATATAGTTTGTCTGCTACTAAAAAGTCACCGTGTAGCTCACTTTTGGGATACTGTATTTTTTCTCCTCCTGGCCTGCTCTGCTGGCAGTGATTTTCAAGAGTTGCTGGTTTCCAGCTCCAGAGCGGTTTAATTTCAATTCCAGGGGAAACAAAACTCTAACCTTGTTGTGTGAAATCCCTGAAGATGTGGAAATGTCCTCTGTGCTCCAACACATCTCTCTGTCACCAGGAAACTACTGACGCTATCCCTATGCCGCTGGGATGAGGAACCCACAGCACTGCACCGGTTCCGCAGCAGCACAGGCTGCCCTGCTCCACCCTTAGAAGCAAACAGGTATTCTGTTTACAAACCAGCACGAGGGAAGGGGAAATGATGTTTTGGGGCTGTTATTCTCTACAGGAAATGGGTGTCCTGTTCCTGTACCCACAGCTGAGCGCAGGTTAGGCTGGAAGCATGTGCTGATGGAGGCATGGAGGAGCTGGCTTGCAGACCTGCCTTTTCAAGGGTCAGCACAATCTCACATAGCGCACAACTCTGTTAGTGTGTTCTGTTTTTTTAACAACAACAAAAGGACAGCATTGGCTCTTTTCTGACAAGGATACTGTGTAATGTGTGAGAAATGAGAACAAGTCAGTCTAAAGAGGAAGAGTGCAACACATCAGCTACAAGCCTAAATAAATACTGAGGTCTGCAGCTGCCTGGCCTGGTTTTGGTTTTACATATATGACTTCTATCAAGATAGAGTTTTATTTCTCAAACCTCTCCCTTTCATTGTTAACCATGTATAGTTACTACCTATTCAACAATAATAATAATGATAAAAGAAACAGTCTTTTTAGTAGAAAAGCTAATTTCTAAGCAGGATATATAGTACTCTGAAAAGCTACCAGGGCTGTCCCCACAGGCCCCATATCCAGTGGGATGTGTTATTTCAGCCTTGACAATGAAATGGAAGCTGGTCTCTACCATGTGGACACAATGCATTAGCATTCCTCAGTAGTGCCCTATGAATGACACAAAAGTTTGCACCAAGATGCAGCCAGGGCTTGAGTCAAAGCACAGCAGTGTCCAAGTGCATCTTTCCAGGGACGCTGGGATGTGAAGCACTCCTGGGTTTCAATGACAAAATGAGCCCTTGTGCTGTATTCCCCAGGCTTTCTCCTAGACGTCTACCAGTTACACCCTTCCCTCCCGCCTGCAATTAGCACTTACAGTGTTGCAAAGGGAGATGAGATTCGCTCTGCACCGTCCTCCTTCAGAACTCGCTCACACCTTCCCCACTGGGTGGGAACATGTGCTGTGGGTTAGGAAATATTCTCGTAGTGGAATTACATTTGCAGCAATCCCACCCCCCGCCTCCTGTTTTCTTCTCACCATGAGACTCTGCTGCTCATCGTGGTAGAGGAGCACGTGAACATAAAAGCACAGACACAGCGTTTGGTTCAGCAGAGCCCCACATCTCCGTGACTGTTCACTCCCCCCAGGAACTGCATATGCACAGATTGGGCCCAGTATGCTTCATACGGGGTAACTGGAGCCGGATAAGTGCCTGCAATTTTGGGAGAGTGGGGAGAGGAGAGAAGTGGGAGTGTATGAACCACTGACCTTAATTAGAGGAGATAAAAATGTTGAAACATGATTCCTAAGAAAACCAAGGAAGGCCTCTATTGTTGAGTGTTTCCACATGGATGCCACTGAGAAGAGGTCAAGTGCTTTCTATATACTTTAAGTAAACAGCAGATTGTGAGCTCACAGTCTGGATTTGAGCAGCCTCTGTGTTCTGCAAGATAATAATTGAGTCTTATGCACTTAAGGTTTGATATCTATTGACATTATTACTTGAGAATTGCCAGGAAACAGAGCGACAATTAAGAGTATAAAGTTTGCTAGTAAAGCTATGCCTAATGTCATACATGGCTAATCCCATGCTAGGATGGTCTTGTACTCTAGGAGAGCATCCATGATGGACTCCCTTAAAAAAGGGTCTCTGCTGTTGGTGGCTTTCCATGGTAAAGACCTGTGTGCCTCCTCACATCGTCATTGTCATGTAAACAATGTACACAGCGCGCAGAATTACATCTGCTAAATGAGGAATGGGTTGTATGTCAGGAGTAAAGTGCTCCAAAGAAGGTAGTTTACTTCCCTGTGGAGCGTATCAAGCCAAGTTAAAATGTTAACCCTAAAATTCTTCTGTTCTTCTTTGCAGCTATCCAGACTGAAGGTTAAGAAGATTGAATGTGGTGGCTTTGTTGCAAAACCAGCTCCATTTCCCTACCTGGAAGTGGGACGACAGTGAAATCAGAAATTACAGCCTTACTTCCTATCTGCAGATTCAGCTGTAGTGTCATTGCCCACAATCACAGTATCATCAGATAGCAGCATTCATCTCAGGTGCTCAGTATCCCTTCCACACCCTGGAGAGACTATGCCCTTATTAAAGGTCTTATTTATAGACAGGGAAACTGAGGCAATGATCCACGTCCACAGAAATCAGTGGCAGATCTTCCACAGCTCCAACTAGACCCAGCAGACCTAGTAACTTCTCCAGGGAAGAGAGGGCAGGAGTGCTCTTAGGGGCATGACTGCAAGCAGATGAATCCCTTGAAATCTTCTGTCCACTCAGTGGGCTTCCCATGCGGATCTAAAATACTAGGGAGCCAAATTATTTAAGGTGTATTGCTGAGAGGAGGGAACGAGGCATGAAACTTGGGAAGCTCAGTCCCAAAGACTCCTCTTAGAAGCCAAGCTGTAATGCTTTATACGCACCTGAAGCAAAAACTCCCTCTTCTCCTGTCTGCATCTGCCTGTGAAAAGAGAACAGGCAGAGAGCTGATTTGTGAACGCTTTCTTGCTAGATTTGAAACCTCTGTCCTTGATTGAAGTGGGGAATGCAATTGCACAAGTCATTAATAATTACTGACAAACCAAAGTAGTATTGGAACCCAGTAAAACCTCCTCCCACTAGGACTGAATCCTGGAAAAGAGCCCTGGGAGCTCCAGCCTGTCTGCATTTCCTATTTTTTGGCGAAATCTGTGTGGAACTGCTGGGTCTCCAAACCGTGCGCATACTCAGAGTAGGGGATGTCTGTACGTGCAGATCAAGGGACGTGAACTTCATCTACACAGACGGCAAAAAGCAGCTTGCAGTTACTTTAACATGTGACCAGTCCCAATTATGGCTTCTTCCACATGGCATCAGCATGCGATGGAGGATCTCACTCTTCTTTTGCCAGAGGCAAATGAATACATTACCCAGCAGCGAGGCGTGGGGCAGCGGATGCCTCACTCTGGGGTGATTTGGATTCCACGCTCGCGTGGGGGTGTGAGCCAACCTCAGAAGTCATTTTCACTGATGCTGACACATAAGGCTTCCCTCAGAGACCTGTCTATCAAACTGCAACATGCTATGCAGAAAAATTAGATTACTCATGCTACAATAAAGAAGAGGAAGATGACAACAATGAGAAAACAAACCCCAAACCTCAAAATATAACAGCTATTTATTGAATGAATAAAAATCCTGACGAGGGGAAAGTACCCTAGAGACTATTTTTTTCTCTATTTTACCTCTTGCAACCTGTTTCAAGGAGAGCCAGTTGGAAAGACCCTATTAATTCAGACACTGCCTCTGGAAAAACCACCACTTCATCATGATTGTCACATTACTGTACTTGCGAAATATCATCTTAAATAGTCATTATGATTTTGCTGCTGGTCTTGCTGCAGTTAGCAGCAGGATTTCCTTTGGCTTTGGTAAAAGCAGGATCAGGCCCCCTCTCTCTTTCTGTCTCTGAATTGCAAATGGATTGCTCACGTGTCAGCTCGGTAACTAGGCAAAGTTCAGCATGCTCAGTTCAAAGCATGCAAGATGAAGCTCAGGGCATTTCACTCACAGTATTTGCCAAGTTCCTCAGGTCTACAAAAGTGTTAAAGTGGTTTAATACAAAATCCATAAGACAAACATTATGCAGCTATGTGAACCCCTGTCCAATAAAATCTATCTTTTTGGGAAAAAAAAATACAAAGTAGTAAAACATATACTTAGTAAAGAAAAGAAAAGGCTGGGTGAAGCTTAGTAAAATCCTATAAATCAGAATGCTGAGAGCTTCAGGAAGGGTGATTTAAAACAAATCTGCAGCAGAACACACACAGACACACACACAGTCCCGAGCTGGAAACGGACCTGGACAAGTGCCGAGGTTAGAGCATCTCAAGACAGCACTGCAGGAATGGTTTTACAGTATTAGATAATGGAAAGGTTTGGCCAAAGGCTGATTTTTCTTCTCTAGTAATAACAAACCTGTGCTGGGGCTTCTGCAGTATTTGCTCCTTGAGTTACTCCCCAGGAACGCTATTTGGGAAGGCTAATTGAGATTTTTAACTCCACCTGCCCTGAATCATCTTACAGTTGTACTGCTCGCAGCTGCAAATTCTGTTTTACCTACTGTTATCATCTTATAAGAAACCAGTTGTGTATGGGCTTGATTTGTGAAGCGGCTCCAGCCACTTCCCATGGGGTTTATGTTCCCCTCTTGAGCCTCTTTTCCAAATATTTCTTCCCAGAGATAAGTTTTGGTTCCCATCCAAATGAAAAGAGGAGAACCGTAAGCTCTTCTGTGGCCCTGCGTCTTGCACAGCCTCAGAGGAGCTCGTGGCCTCCTGACCAGAGCCAAGAACAGATGCAAGTTTGCATTTCCCTGCTCATTCTCCAGCTGTGTGATGCTGCCATGTGCAGTGGTGTGGATCAACCCGGCTGCACCCTTTTAAGCCTGGTGAGGGGTTCTTTTGGAGTTTGGCTTCTTAGCATAGGCAAGCAATTTCAGCATGACCACGCGGCAGGGAAGTACATAGAATTATAGATCTCTTTAAAACTGTCGGGAGCAAACATGATCAGATCTGGTTCTTGATCTCATTACTGTCTAAAAGATTTGGTTGGCATTTTTAAATGCCATGATTTATGTTCATCACCTTAACGCGGCCCTTGGAAGTGTAAACCCAGTAACTCTGTTATTCTCCAGGGCAACTCTAAAGAATCTGTTTGGAGAATTCACACAACACTATGTCTATATGAAGATATTAACATGGATTAAGACAAGTTGATAGATTTTAAACCAGGCTATACAATGAAAACCAGTGAGAGTAAATCAAATAGCTTTGCCTAACTACAGAAAGTGTTTGCAAAGCCCTGTAAGGTTTCCATTTCCTAAAGCCACCTGCCATCTCAAATGGCCCTAATCAGTCACAGATGCTGGATACCAACCTGCTAACCCTACGGCTTTGAGAGAAAATATTGCACTTTGTAAACTCATTCTTGGGTATTTCCTTAATTTTTCTTAAACTAAACTTTTATCCCCTATTTTCCACTTAAATGTAATGAGTTAAATCAACTCTGACATTTTGCCCTGCTCACCTCCCAGTTGTGCTCAGCTGCTTCCCTACCTACTTCTTGAAACATCTCAAGACCTCAGGTTTGGGGTTATTTTTTCACTCCACATCTCCTGGTGTTGAGCAGTCCTGTTAAAGGCACAGGTTTCACTATTGCTGTAACCTATTGCCAATGGAAAAATGAATGTTTTTCTGCACTTAACGTTTATCTCTACAACGAAGATCTATCAAATACTGAGCTTTGCTGAACTACTGTGGAAACCCTTTTTAACCCCTCAAACAATTAAACCCCCCCTATCAAATAAAAGTCCATCCCTGAAGAAATAAGCATTTTAGAGGCCACATCCAGCACCCACTGGAATCAAACTGAAGAATTTCACAGATAAGGGAAGGTACCAAAACAGGCCCTGCTGCCAGAGACCATCAGATGCTGTTCTCAAGCAGAACAGGGGGTTGCCTTGGCTCTGGAAGGAGCCATTACTCCACTTTAGCTCGTGAAGACAGACTGGGTGTGGGAGTTGTAATGGAGGTAGGAAACAGACTGGATTTTATTAGTCTTCCATCATCTTTAAGAGATCCCTAACCAGATCAGGTTTCAGCCTCTTGCTCCACTCTTGTGTCAACCTTTGGTTCTGTTTTTGCTGGAGGATAAGTTTCATTATATTAATAAGCAGCACAAGTGGTTCCAATTGTGGAAGAACCACTCGGAGCTGTCAGAAATGATCAGAGGAGAAGTTTCAGCCTCTCCATGATCACAGCCTCTTCTTCTGGTGCCTCAGCTCAGCACCTCCCCAGTGCACTTCACGTTTTTAGCAGCCATGACAATAATAAAAAGGCCGTTTACATTTCAGCCAGGGGAGGTTATTTTAAGGAATTTATTCTCTGATCATGGTAGTCCATCAATGCTCGGAAACCAGACGGTAATGGGAGTAATTGGGCTAACATCCAATCTACTGGCTGGGAGACTAGATCTAGGCATGCATGTAAACTATACATCTTCAGTCTCCTACTGCAGTCAAATTTCAAGCACAAGCATCTTTAATTATGCCACTAAACCAGGAAGTTTATAGCTAAGTTTATAATATTTCTTAGGACAAAGAAAGAAGTAGTGAGAAAGACTCAGAACAAAACACGCCAAAAGCTGAGAGTGTTGGGTCCTTATCATAGAGTGATCCATTAGTGTTTACCAGCAATAAGGCTCAGCATTTGTCCCCCTCACAGCATCCACCCAAAGGAAAGGGGTTTAGGTAGACAGAGTAATTAAAGAACCCCTACAAGAGTGGAAATATTACCAGATTAATTTTGCAGATAGGAAAATGAAGCACAGAAAGATTTAAATTCATCTGAGTTCAACAAACCAGACAGTACAAAGGAGATGTCCTGACTCATAACCCTGTGCTCCAACCACTACAAGAAGATGGGTACCCATGGGACAGGCAGAGAGCAGCTTTCATGGTGCACATCTCCACCAGCATCCACTCCCTGGGCTGCAGGGCTGGGGTTTGGGTTCACAGATGTACCATGAAAGGACCGAGGATCTCGCTGCTCCCTGACAGACTCCACCACTGCCCTGGGAGGAACTGAGCGAAGTTTAGTTTTCAGATGAGAGTCACCCGGGACTAGTGACTGAAATGTCATCTGTGTGATGGAACAAGAAAAAGAAGGGAGAAATGTAAAAGGGAATCTTTGTAGCCAGGACTACCTGACTCTCCCGCAGTAGGAGACACAGGAATAGCGTTTCATGTCATGGAGATGTAGTTAAAATGCAGACTGCATATCCTTGTTCTCAGAATTTGAGAGGTGGGGTTTATGCATGTGGACAAGCCATCGTTCCTCCCTTTGATCTACCACTTGATGTAGAGGAAGGCTTTTATGTGTTAGTCTCATATAATGGATAATTTAGTCTGAAACCAGTTTGCAAAAGTCTTACACTTTGGGTACATATGCTTCAATTATTCTTGAAAGTACACAGGAATATTTCATGCCATTCACATCTATTTCAAGGGAAAAAAAAATCAAACCCAGAATTTTTGTTGAGCACCCAAACAGATTTGTTCTCCTGAGGGAAGTTTGGGTTTTAAACGAATTCTGCCATTTTGTGAATTAATTGAAAGGTAGAATGTAATCTTTAATTGGAGAAATGTCAGTCATTCATTAACATTACCTGGGGTGCCTCTACTGCTCTTTAGCTGCATGTGTTTATTCACTTTATGAATAAAACTACTTAACACAAAGAGCAGCAGAGTTGAATTCCCCTTGTTCAAGTGCACTTAGAGCTGAGTTTTCAAATTAGTCCTGTCACCCCTTTAGAAGCAGTTCCCCATAAACCCATGAACTGCTGGGACAACATGAGTCACACTGACAGTGAGCAGGGCTGGAGTATCCCCTTCTCCCATAGGCGTAGTTTGTACAAAGGGGTTGTTACAAGAGGAGGGTGTCCTTGTTTGGGTTTTTTTCCCTAAACATTCTCCCAGTGACAGGTCTTGGAGTTGGACACCAGAGCTGTCAGTGTTCAGAGGTGAACGCTGACAGCAGTGTCACTGATGGCTCCTTCGTGCCTCAGTTTCCCCCCTTTCTAAATTAAGCATCCTCATATACTGGCTTTTCAGTCAGGAAAATTATCTTAGCATTTAATCAGACATCTTCTGTTTTCTTCTACTGAATAAAAGGATGGAAGTGGCTCTGACATAGTTCAAAGAAAGGATTAACCCATTTCACATATCAGAGGAAGTGTTTGGGTAGATGTTGCCCTGTGAGACCTCTGAACTGATCCTCTAAACACAGGCTAATTCAAATAGTTCAACTACAGGAATAAAATGTTCAGCTTGGAGGCATTTTGAGCTTCACAGATAACAGGGGACACTATAAAGAAACATCCTGATGTCTTTTTTTCCATCCCTGCTCTCATGACTGGCCCACTGACATTCCATGGTTGCTGTCCTGCAGGAGATGGGACCCCTGTATCTCCAAGGCTGTGACCAGTGTCTCCCTGAGCAATGCAGGTGGAAATCTTGCCCTCAAATCCTGAGTTCCAAAACCTGACCCCCTGAAGGGGTCCAGAAGAGCTGAACAGGCCCATCTGCACCAGCCACTGCTCCTACCTTGCAGCCAAACCCGTATGAGGAGCAGTTGGCTATGCAGTGGGGTTCAATGCAAGCTATTAGCCCCCAGCGTTTCCTGAGACCTGGCTTTATTCAGTGCACTGCACAAGCAAACCCTTTCCCAAGTGACATCTGAACTGAGCCTCAGCAGCAGTGCCCAGGCTCTGATCGCTGACCCAGCCTGCACTGTAGCCCATGTGCAGAACTTACCCAAGATGAAAGGCACCAAATGACAGGATACAGAGTGCCGAGAGCTGGCAGCAGAGGTTTCTTCTGCAGACATCTTGCTGGTTGTTTTAAGGTCTTCTGCCTCTAAGTGGCACCATGCTGAGTGATTGAACACTTGCTAGAATCTGTTCTACCTTTTATTGTAATGATTCCTTACAGAGCTCCCACTTTCCAAACTCTGAACTTTCAAGAGTACTGCCTGGATGTCAGAGCCCTTTCGTCAGAAACACCAGAGCCTCTGGAGTGATGGTCCCCAGTACTACAAAATCCCTTTGGAAAGCCACAGCTCTTAAACCATCACTAGGAAAGACTGAACTTTAGTTTTTAGAGAAGGCTGTCACATCCCTGGGATGTGTAATGAGAGGTATTCAAAACAGAGCCGGGCAGAGCTTTCGCTGGTGTAAATTGCCAGAGGGTTACACTGAATCACAGCCATGCACAACCTGGTTTATGGTTTTGTATTTGCTTAAAGTAATTAGGCCCAGACTGCCTCATACGCCACTTCTGCTCGGAAAGCAGGAAGCAATTTGGGAAAGGGGTAGAGGGTATCCCAGAATGGATGGGTCTGATCTACACGCACACATACACACACACACAGGCTGGGAGTCCTGAAACTACTGAAGCAAACTGACCTCTTCAAACTCGCCACTGAGCACAAGAAATGTTGTACTTTTTAAACCAGAAGGAAGTAATCTCCTCTCAGTGCTATAAGGGGCTCATAAGGCTCAAATGTTCAGATATTCAACCATCTACCAGGAAATCTGCCTTTGCTTTACTACTTTATGATCCTCGTATATCTTGCAGAGTTTGAGGCTGTTTGCTCTACTTCCAAATGCTGAAAGCTCTTTGGTTCCTATGTAATGCAACAAAGCCCACAGCCCAAACTCACAACAACCACCACCAGACTGCAGCACAGGAAAATTATTGACACTTGAAGAGGACTAGAAAAAGAGAAAAGATTTTCTGTATTTGAGGGAAGGTTGTCAGGGCAGTAACACAGCACAATGAGTAGTGAAGACTGGGAGATTTATGTGCCAATTCTGTCTATGATTGATTTAGATTAATTGCTCTGTACCAATATGTAAAAATCTAATAAATATAAATCCCCATACCACGGGTTGCTCCAGTCCCGATGTTACAGTGGACAGTTTTGGCAGCAAGTCAGGATGTGCATTAAAAACACACTTTTTTGAGAAGTCTAATAAATAAAAGCTCTGAAATATAGTTTCCTACTGAGAAAGGCATTTTAAATCATTTTGATAAAGAACTTAAATTAGGCCTTAAAAGGAGGGGGAAGCTAGGTCCCTGCAACTAATTATTTATAGGCATTTTGAATATAAGAGTCCAAGAAAGCTGGTCTCCATGCCCCCTTCTCTGCCACAATAAATGGCAAAGAAACAGCCGTTCCCCTTCACCCCCCCCCAAATTAAAAATCAGAAGTATTAGAAAGGGGAGGAGAAAACTCTAATTCAAATGGGGAGCAGGCACCTGAACAAGGAACTTCAGGAGTCCTGAAAAAACCCTGCATGTTTTCCATCAAAGTAAGTTCAATGAGCAGGGGACAGGCCTTCAGTTCCCCTCTGCGTTACTCAAGAGAACTGGGCTGTTTAGCTCACCGTAGTCCCCTGAAAAAGGAATACACTGTTATTTGTTAAACACCAGAGAGAATGTTTTTAGAAGTGAATAAACATCTGAATAGCTCCAGTCTTTCTGGAAGTCAAAGCAATTTGGAGAATGCACAGAAGCCAAAACTGCCGGGGACTTGGGCTTCTAAGTCACTTAGGTGCCTCTGAATACGTTATCCCAAAAGCAGAGCTGACGCTTTGCATGTGCACAGCCACCCAGGGGCCCTCCCTTGGAGGGTATGCAGGTTGGGATCTGCTACCACTCACAGCAAAACCAGTGGGGTTGAAGAAGTGCTGATGTGGGAGGGTCTGCAGCTCTGCAGCAGTCATTGGCACCTCCCTGAGCTGGAGCTCACACCAGGCACAGCAGCCAGGTCCACTCCGTACGGCTGGATGCTCTGCATGGGAAGGCTGAGGAATAAGAGGCTAAATCACAGCGTGTTGTGGTTGTACCTCTCAGGCTTCCTGCTGAGGTTACTGAGTTACTAATCTCTGATGGACATCCAGAATCTCCCTCCCTGTTCTCAACAGATGCTTCACCTTGAACTCCCTTCTGCTGCCAAACATGGTTGTCTCTCAAGACTCTGCACAAGGAGATGTGAATTCTAATCTGCACCATCAGGAGTGCTTCTCTCTGAGCTCAAGTTCATCCCTCTCTTTAAATCTGACCCTCAGACCTTCTTTTCATCACAGGGTTCAGTGAGGCATACTGCAGCAAGGGCCACCACTGCTCTTGCAGAACCAGGAGGTTGCTAGTAAGTGGCACTTTGCTAGAGAAGGAAAAGACATGCCCTAGAAAATTAAGATTTTGATTTTGAGTTTAACAGAGCAGGTTTACACCTACATATGGGCCTGGCTGTGTGTCCGTAAATTCATGGCACACAAAAGCACACCTTTCATTGACTGGGGACAGCTTTATGCCAAAGTCCTTTAGTGTCCTCAAAGACCCACTTCCATGCCAGACCAGACCTTCAAACCTTTCTGACAGCTTGAAGTCCTGACGTGCACCACCAGAACCTGCAGGCATGTCCCTGAAGGTCAGGAATGGCACAAGAGCTCAACCACAGAGCAGCAGCACCCAGTTTTTTCCCTCCAAACCTGACACAGAAATACATGGCCAGGTTTGCAAGAGAACTTAACAGCTTGAAGCTTTGCTGAATGCCTGCCTGTAAACACACAGCAGGAACTGCAGGATGCAGCTCTGAAAATGTGGCCTGGGCTGGGAGCACTCAACTGGCCATGAGCTCCTCTGAAAAGGTTGTGCTATGTGATCATAGGAGAAAGAGAGACACAGGCTGCCTGCGCACAAAGAAAAGGTGCTACCTGCTATTGCAGACAAGGGGAGTTTGCTCCCAGTTCAAAGTTGGTTTAAGATTTCTCACAACCTACTAAAAATAAAAGTTCCTGGACAGTCTGAAAGCCCCCAAAATAAGAAAGAAAAAAAAGCTGAAATTTGAATTTAAATTGAAAATTAAGAATTAAAAAAAAATCCCAACAAAACCCAAAACCATTTGTTGCTGTCGTGAAAACTTAAACTCAGGCTTCTGACATTTGAAACTTAATAACCAAAACCATCAGCCATAATGATTTCTCCATTTGATTCAGCATTAATATTCAGAGAAATGCCAGGGGCTGTCACTTCCCATATTAAGGCAATCCACATTCATTTGCATCTAGAACACCTATGGATGTTGTTCTTCTGATGACCAAACTGTAATTTTTTAAGCTGAAAGAAAGAGAATAAGGCATCCAAATGTCTTTTGAAACACATCAAAAGGCATTTTCTTTTAAACATCTGAAAGAGGATCTGGTTATTTTGGGGATCCTTTCCTCTTCATTATCATTGCATTGTCATGTTGGGTTATCCAATTACTCATCTAGAACTAGAAACTTCCTGTCATGTGTTAAGGTGTAAGAGGACTGGCTTAGCTGGTTTAAAGAACAGCTGTAAAGAGCAGTCAGGAAGACAGCAGCACAAGAGGAAATCCTCAGTCGAATTCAAGTGCTTTACGTCTGCCATAAACACGCTTCCAGCTGAAATTAAAGGAATTTCTTTTAACTCTATTCACAGCCTCCAAATATGCCGCTCAGCAAGCTCAAGCTGCCTGAGATCTTAGTCATTCTAAGAAATGAATCATATTCCCCTTGTCATCTGGCTGTTCTCTGCTGACTGCTAATTCATGGTATATTGATTTTAAGACTCTGTTCACACATTATATTTCCATGTTAAGCCAGGAAAGCTTTTCTTGCTGAAAAAAATTATGCCCCATCCTCATTCCTCTC